GGATCATCTGGGGTGTCCCCCGCTGATCCCCCACTGGGGTCTGGTATATTTCAAAGCAGGCATGCCGCTTGCAGCCCTGAGTCAGTAATGTACTTCCACATTCTTCCTTTGAAATGTACAAGAGCCCCAGCTGGAGCTCTTAGGCACCTCCGCATTCTTCCTTTGAAATGTACATCGAGTAGTCGATGGAAATTCCACTGACTACTTGACTAATCAATTAACCTCCATTTAGCATCCCTAGATTGGACATCAGGAAAAACTTCCTAACTATCAGGGTGGTTAAACACAGGAATAAATTGCTTAGGGAGGTTGTGGAATCTCCATTACTGGAGATATTTAAGAACAGGCTAGACAGACACCTGTCAGAGATGATCTAGATAGTGCTTAGCCTGCTGTCAGGACGGGATTAGACTCCATGACTTCTCGAGGTCCCTTCCAGTTCTAGTGTTCTATGATTCTTCCAGGGAACTTGACAAGGGTTACCCAGTTTTAGTATATTGTGTCATTGTACATATTATAAATGTATTGGGTGTCATTTAATTGGGCTTAGGGTGCATGCACTGCAAGGAAGCATTTGATGGACCTATTGCTCATCAGAAGATTTCTGTAGATTCTTCAATGGAACATCTAAAACTTTGGTGCTTATTCTTATAAACTTATTTAGCAAATTATTGTAGCTTGACAGCATTGAGCTTCATCTTTTAATACAGATTTTAATATAGTTGAGTTAAATACTCTCACTTTGGCAAAAACTCACTCTGACCCTGAGGGTTTATTGAGTAGCCCTAATTTGGCATGACATAGCATGATTCAGATCTCCCCTTTATCTCAAGTTGCTTTCTTACAGTCAGATGAGAATAGCTTTCTTTTGTGGTGGTCTCCGTGAATACTCGGAAGCACTAACCTTGGAGTTGCATTAAAGAGTTTTGCTCTTGGTTTTTATTTCAGGCTCTCCTTTCATTGGTTCTTTTGGTTAGCTGTCCAGCACAGATGCTCCTCCTTTTAATAGTTAGACAGCTAGCACTGTCTGTTCTTAAGGTTGTGTGGCACTTGCTATCCTGTTGTCAGTTGCTTAACTTTGCCATACTTTAGCAATGACATTTTCCAGGTGACTGTTGGCCAGCACAGTTCTGAGAATAAGGAGAAAGAAAATACATTTTCCCCATTGTTAAAATGTAGCAATCCTTTCTTTTGAAAAGTCCTAGTCACCCAATGCTGCAAGTTGAAATTAGGCAGGGAATGGCCCTTGTGTCCGATGGGCTTTTGTCAGTTCCTGTGAAAATCTGCCCATGTTTGGCCAAGTTTAAAAAAAAAAAGTTTGAAAAATTTGACTTTTTCCATGTTTCATAGCTACTTAGCAGCTACAGTCTCTTAAGGTTCCCTGCACATTGAGTATGCTGCAGCCTGTACGTGATCGTACTGCAGATGAGCCATCTCTACATAAGAACGGCCGTACTGGGTCAGACCAAAGGTCCATCTAGCCCAGTAGCCTGTCTGCCGACAGTGGCCAGCACCAGGTGCCCCAGAGAGGGTGGACCGAAGACAATGATCAAGCGATTTGTCTCTTGCCATCCCTCTCCAGCCTCTGACAAACAGAGGCCAAGGACACCATTTTATCCCCTAGCTACACGTTCTCCGTGTAGAGACGGCTCATCTGAGAGACGACCCTTCTCTCTCCTCTGCTCTGAATGACCCTCTGCTAGTGCTCAGGCAACATGGAAATGGAAGCAGACTGATTCAGATGCAGACAGGACAAGAATTAAACCAGAGAGAATACAAGAGTTTTGGTACTGAGAACGGGGTAAAGTGGGGAAATAAGGCTGGGACTGGTTTGCCAGGGAGGATGGTCCTGTTGAAGGAAACTGGAAGGTGGAAGAGGAGGTAGGCAATGGTTCTAAGTCAGGTGGCAGAAGAAGCTCTAATACTGGACAGGAAGCTGAGGGAGGGCTGGAGTTAGTTGGCCAAAGAGGGAGTGAGTAGAAGTTGGGCAGATTGCAGGGAACATAGGCTGAGTGGGTCTGATGACTAGAGTACGCACTCAAGAATGACACTCAAGATTCATGAGTGTCAGCATTCCTTTGCTGTCAGCAAATATGCTACAACCTCCATACTCTGGGTGTCCCCAATTTGGGAACACCCATCGTACAGTCCCTGGCAGGCAGAAGCGTCTCTGGACACTGCTAGGGATGCTAAAATTAAATTAATCAACTAATCGAATAGTCGATGGAATTTCCATTGACTTTAGGATTTGTTGATGAGGGTGCTTCTGCTTTGAAATATAGCAAGAGTCCACTGAGCTGTTGCTACATTTCAAAGGTGGCAGTGCCAGCATTCCTCCTTTGAAATGTACAAGAACCCCAGCAGGGACTCTTGTACGTTTCAAAGGTGGAACACCGCCGCTATGCCCCTGCCCCCTCCCCAGCTTTTAAGCTGGCTTCCCCCATCACCTCCTCCTTCTCCCCTCCCCCTTGCTGCTTCTTTCTGATAGAGGCAGCAAGGGGTCGGGGGAGTGACTAGTCGATTAGTCGCTTACATCCCTAGGTGCTGCCACCTTCCATTTCCCTCAGCTGGGGGAACGGCAGCACAGCAACATGCTCTGTTGAAGACTTTTCCTTGTTGCTCCCCTAGTGGTGGGGAGCAGCTGGGGTAACGAAGTGCCAGCCAACTCAACCCTCACTCTTGTCTTGGCTAGCAAAATCTTTAATCTGGCAAACCCCATTTCCTAGGGTTGCTGGATTAGAGGTTCAAGTGTATCTGTGAAATTCACCTGCCAAATGTATGCCTTATCTTTCCCCAGTGTTGGCTCGCATAGAAAATGACCTAATACGGCTATCAGTTATTCTGCGAGCTCAAATGACAGAGATCTGTGTGGTAGATCGAAAAGTCCTAACCCATCTAATGATCCACAGCGATGTCAGTATGCTGCCCCATACTGGAATTTTTTAGTTTGCTTTTTTGTGTGTGTATTCTATTTCCTGTATTAAAAGAACATTATTAAGGTTGCAAAATCAAGCATTAAAAATTAGGAATTGCAAGACTTAAGGCTGACACTGCAACCTTAATTCAGGATCCTTGTGTGTGTATTAGGATAGTCTCTAATTACATGATTGCATACTGTGTTTTTCCCACAGGACCTCACCTCATTTAGTGCGCTGAGTGCACCTTTTTTTGGAGGTGAATCAGAGTTCTCTAGTGAAGGAGGTTGTTGTAGAAGGTATATCGTGCATGAGGCAAGGTGTTGTAAGAAGAAAAATGATGGTATGATTAAGGAAGCTGAATGCTATTCTGGAAAATTGATTCTATCCCTTTCTCTGATACAGAGTTCCTATGTGATACTGAGCAAATCCACTTCATCAAGGTTCTGTCAACATCTGTTCCTCACTTTGGGGGTGTCATACTTAAGACTGGGGTCTGGTTTGTCTGAAGTGCTCACAGCTGTAATAAAACTCAGGGTACGTCTAGACTACATGCCTCTGTCACCAGAGGCATGTAGATTAGGCTACCAGACATAGGAGGCTTACCTGGGTGGTCGACAAATACCTTTTGATGTCGCCACCCGCGCATCCAGACTACAGCGCTGAGCCGACAAACAGCTGATTAGCTGTTTGTTGGCTCAGCGCGGCAGCCATGTAAATTTAAATGAAGCGGCGATTATTTAAATCGCCGCTTCATTTTACTATGTCTGGTAGCCTAATCTACATGCCTCTGGTGACAGAGGCATGTAGTCTAGACATACCCTCAGTGTTTTGAACATATTCAGTACTATAGAATAAGTATTTTGAAAACTAAGATCCTATGCATCTCAAATTGGGCATCCAATAGATGCCTCTCATGACCTTATCTCTGTTCTTCAGTTCCCATTCTGTGGATACGGCTTGTCTCCCAGAGGTGTCATGAAAAGAAATTTAGCGATGTTTGTGAAGCAATCAGGTATTACAACAATGAGTTTTGTGGAAAAGGAATTTAATAATTCTGTCTTTGGAACAGTGTTTGAATAGTGTGCAGTAAATAAGGCCTGGACCACACATGATCCAATAAGAGAAAACAAAATATTGAATAGCTGATCATTAACTGGGCACTGTCTAGTTTGGACACGGGTGGGGAAAAGTAGTTTGTGATCATATAGTTTAAGACTGTTGTACAGACACATTTAATTCTGGCACTTCCTAGCTGTTGAATGCTTGAATTTTCAACCTTGATGAGAGTGTGTAAATAAGCCATGTAACATTTTCCACTACTATAATTAGTGCAGATTGGAAGATCTTGTTGCCTGAAAGTTTGGTACCCTTCATCCCTTTTCATGACTTCCCTGCCACACCACCTATTCACCCCATTGTGCAACCAGTTCTGTTTGAAATTGCCATCCACATGTAACCTTCTTCAATTCTCTGTTGGCCATTCCTTGCTGTGCTGCCCCACCCCCAAACCATCTCTTACTGAAGAGTGGTAAAGTCTTGTTCATCCTTCCTCAGTGACTTGATAGCCATTGTAGGTCAGTTTGGTCCTGGATCTCTGTGCTCCTTGAATTAACTGTAGCTTTCTGCCTTTAGTTTACTAATCTAGCTGGACTATACAGCTTTAGATGGGGCTCCTTGGCCTGGTAATTAGATGCCTCAATGAATATGCAGCCATTATGACCTGAATGGTTTTACTTAAGTGCAATCAAACATGAACTGGTTTGAGACAAAACCAACTTTATTAGGAAACATGAGAGGATAAAGTTAAAGAAGGGATGTAGGCTGAGCAATAGGAATGAAAAATCATGGGGAATTTGGGAAATAATGGTATGTGGGTCTCAATCTCATGAGGTGCTGAGCACCCTCAGTTCACATCTCATTAACCCAGTAAGAGTTGAGGGCTTTGGCATCATGCCCTCCTAAAGGGTTGACCCAGAAATTAGTGTAGCCTTTTTTTTTAAATGCCATCTTTTTTTGCTTATGACTAACTAGTAAGATGAGTATAAACATGCTCTGTGTGTCTTATTTTTCCATCACCAACAGCATGAACAGGTTAAATACCTTGCCTAGAGGATTTGGATCTTTACCAGCTCTGGAGGTTCTTGACTTGACTTATAACAACTTAAATGAAAATTCCCTGTCTGGAAACTTCTTCTATCTGAGTAAGAAACTTTTTTTAAAAAAATCTATAAATCTTCCTGAAATGGTGTTTTGCTTTCTGCTGGTGAAATTTATTTGATAGAGACCAAACTCCAATAGAATTTTTTAGATATATGTTTTTCTTCCGTGGATCCTCTTGAATATTTCTACATAGCTCAGCAATACATACCATTGATATACAATCACCTGACACTAGTGGGCATGGAAGGACTTGGTTAGTAATGGCATATTAGCTTTCTTGAGGGTAATATTTTCTTGAGTCACATATTTAGCTAAAATGTAATAGAAGCTAACAAACCTCTTGGGACAATAAAGAATGTCACCTTGAAGCGTGTTGACTATCTGAAAGTAGCCATAACCAACTTGTTTCTGACTGCTCTTGTTAAAAACTATTTTACCAGCAAGTAAGAGTGAGTGTGAGTGTATGTGTAGTTCCTTATATATACACACAGTGTTAAAAGTGGAGATGTAAAAATCCCATTGAATTGGTTAACCAATTCAGACTCAGTCTTGCTGAGTCTGCCCCCTGCCTGTGAGGTGCCTGGTTTCACCGTGGGAAGGGACACTGGAACAGACCACTTCCTGCAGCGGGAGGGAAGCTACTCCAGCCCCCACCAGTTAACTGGTTAACCTTTCACGTCCCTACTTATAAGCATGTTAAGGTTACAAAGTCAAACACTCAAAAGTTATGAAATCTCACAATTCAGATTGCTTTTGCAATTTTAATTGCACTTTTTTTGTCCATATCCATTTTGATGGTCTTTAATTATGACTTACTGCTTTTTCCCATGCGATCCCAGGCTTGGTAAGTGAATTCAATATTACTTTTTGTTTTTTCAGTGTGTGGCCACAGGCCTTATTTAATATACGCAATCCAAACATTGAATACAGTATTGTTGATTTCCTCCAGGGCATTTCTGTGGTGCTCTCAACATACTGAGAGTGCTTAATCCACTGTTAATGTATTTAGCTTCTAGAACACTCCTGGGGCATGTGATATTGTGCCTGCTTTATAGGTGTGGATCTGAGGCACGGAGAACCTAAAACAAAAATTGTCCGAAGTGTCTACTTATTTTTCAGATTCCCTTGCATTTTTATAGCACCTTTATATGTTACAAGCACAGCTCCTTCCCCTCCCCCCATCTACCTTAACATCTGTGAACAATTGGCTTTTCTGCCAAAACTAAGTATCTATAGTAAGGCACCCAGTAAATGAGGAACACATAATTGGTGGCCTACTGTGAATGCTTTAGTTTGTGACTTGCACAGCAACAGATAGGAACTCTGTGGCAGAAGCAGGTATAGGGCAATATTCAGTTTCCTTAATCATAAGACCCTCTCTTGCCTCTTCACAGGACACCTTCCAACTTCTGCAACAAGAGTCCTATGACAACAGCTTCTTTCACTACATGGCTATGATTCATTCCAGAGCTCTATTGTTTGCATACACTGAATGAGACTAGTTAGAAGAAATAGGATGTGACCATGTAGTTAGACTGTATTATTAATTTATGCACAGAGGCTCAGTTATGGTTACACAGGTAATCTTTGTTCTGGTGTTTCCTAACTTTTGAGTGTTTGAATGTGCAACTTTCATATTCTTTTAAATATAGTTTTTATTGGAAGTCGGATCATAGCCGTAAGCAGAAAACGTAGAAAACCATTTTGAGGAGGCCATGCTGCTGTCTGAGAAGGACCTACTGATTATGATCCAACAAAAGGAAAACTGTAGATTATCAAAAAGTTTAAATGACAACAGTGCAACTAACAAGAAACCTGCAAAACAGACGTTCAGCCTGCCCTAGGAGAAGGTGGGAGGTCTTATCCTCCTCCCCCTGTTCAACACTGTACTATTTTGGTTTAATATTCATGCAAAGTACAATGCACCACCCCAGGGCTATATAAATAGTAATAAGCTAAATGGATGTAGGATCATACAATACTAGAACTGGAAGAGACCTTGTGAGATCAAGTCCAGTCCCCTGCCCTCATGGTAGGACCATATCATCCCCGATAGATGTCTAACGTGCTCTTAAGTATCTCCAGTGATGCAGATTCCACAAGCTTCCTAGGCAATTTATTCCAGTGTTTAACCACCCTGACAGGACGTTTTTCCTAACTTCCAACCTAAACCTCCCTTGCTGCAGTTTAAGTCTATTGCTCTTTGTCCTAGGAGAACTTTTTTTTTTTATCCTAAGAGGCCAAGGAGAACAATTTCCCCCTCTCCTCCATGTGACACCCTTTTAGATACCTGAAAGCTGCTATCATATCCCTTCTGTCTTCTCTTTTCCAAACTAAACAAGTTCAATTCCTTCAGCCTTGCCTGCATAGCTCTCTAATCAGTTTTGATGATCTTTGCTGGACCGTCTCTAATTTCTCCATCTCTCTTGAAATGTGGTGCCTAGAACTGGACACAATAGTCCAATTGAAGCCTAATCAGCATAAAAGAAAGAATGACTTCTCATGACTTGCTCACAACACTACTATTAATGCATCCCAGAATAAGGTTTGCTTTTTTTCAACAGTGTCATATTGTTGACTCATATTTAACTTGTCCACTATGACCCCTAAATCCCTTTCAGCAGTACTCCTTCCTAGACAGTTGCTTCCTATTCTGTATATGTGAGACTGATTTTTCTTTCCTAAGTGGGGTACTTTGCATTTGTCCTTATTAAATTTCGTAGTATTTACCTCACACCATTTCTCTAGTTTGTCCAGATCATTTTGAATGTTGATCCTATCCTCCAAAGCACTTGCGAGCACTCCCAGCTTGGTGTCATCTGCAAACTAAATAAGCATATTCTCTCTACCATCATCTAAATCATAAATGAAGATATTGAACAGAACAGGTCCCAGAATAGACCCACTGTGGAACCCCACTTGTTATGCCCTTCTAGCATGATTGTGAACCATTAATTACTTTCTTAGAACAGTTATCCAGTCGGTTACGCACCCACCTTATCGTAGCCCCATCTAGGTTGTATTTGCCTAGTTTATTGATAAGAAGGTCTTGCGAGACCACAGCAAATGCCTTACTAAAGTCTAGATATACTACATCCACCACTTCTCTCTTATCCACAAGACTTATTAGCCTATCAAAGAAAGCTATCAGATTGGTTTGACATGATTTGTTCTTTACAAATCCATGTTGGCTGTCACCTATCACCTTTTTATCTTCTAGATGTTTGCAGATGAATTCCTTAATTACTTGCTCCATTATCTTTCCTGGCACAGATGTTAAACAGACTGGTCTGTAGTTTCCTGGGTTGTTCTTATTGCCCTTTTTATTGATGGGCACTATATTTGCCCTTTTCCAGTCTTCTGGAATCTCTCCTGACTTCCATGATTTTTCAAAGGTGATAGCTAAAGGCTCAGATACCTCCTCTATCAGCTCCTTGAGTATTCTAGGATGCATTTCATCAGGCCCTGGTGACTTGCAGACATCTAACTTTTCTAAGTAATTTTTAACTCCGGTTTTCTTAAAAATTATTTCTTAACCTACCCCATTTCCACTAGCATTCACTATGCTATGCATCCCTTCATCATCAAACTTCTTGGTAAATACTGAAACAAAGAAGTCATTAAGCACCTCTGCCACTTCCAAGTTTCCTGGTATTGTTTCTTCCTCCTTACTGAGCAATTGGCCTACCTTGTTCTTAGTCTTCCTCTTGCTTCCAATATATTTATAGAATGTCTTCTTGTTACCCTTTATGTCTAGCTAGATTGAGCTCTTTTTGTGCATTTTCCTTTCTAATCTTGCCTCTGCATATGTGTGGTGTTTGTTTATATTCATCCTTTGAAATTTAACCTAATTTCCACTTCTTATGAGACTCCTTTTTGATTATTAGATCATGCAGGATTTCCTGGTTTCAGCCAAGGTGGTCTTTTGCCATACTTTCTATCTGTCATATGCAGTGGAATAGTTTGCTTTCGGGCCCCTAATAATGTCCCTTTGAAAAACTGCCTACTCTTTTCAGTTGTTTTTCCTCTAGTCTTGCTTCCCATAGAACCTTACCTACCAGCTCTCTGAGTTTACTAAAATCTGCCTTCCTGAAATCCGTTGTTTCTATTTCGCTGTTCTCCCTTCTACCATTCCTTGGTATCATGAACTCTATGATCACTTTCACCCTGGTTGCCTTCCACTTTCAGTTTTTCAACCAGTTCCTCCCTATTTGTTAAAATCAAATCTAGAACGGTTTCCCCCCAGTAGCTTTCTCAACCTTCTGAAATAAATTGTCTCCATTGCAGTCCAAGAACTTATTCAATAATCTGTGCTCTTCTCTGTTGGCTTGCCAACATCTGTCTGGATAGTTGAGGTCCCCCATCACCACCAAATCCTGCACTTTGGATGATTTTGTGAGGTTTTTTAAAAAAGTCTCATCTACCTCTTCTGCCTTGTTAGGTGATGTATACAGGCAGTCCCCGGATTACATGGATCCAACTTACATCAGATCCCTACTTACAAACGGGGTGAGGCAACCCCGCACTAGCTGCTTCCCCCTAGCAGACCAGGGAGACACTAAGCTAGCACCCTCCCCTCCCCCAGCAGACCTGGGAGACACGGAGTGGCTTTTCTCAGCAGACACCTCAGCTTGAGAATAAAGGACTGAGGGAAGTGAGGCGTGGGAGAATAAAACTGAGCTCTGGAGAAATGTTTGCCTAGAGTTTCCCCTACAATATGTACCAGTTCCGACTTGCATACAAATTCAACTTAAGAACAAACCTACAGTCCCTATCTTGTACGTAACCTGGGGACTGCCTGTAGTAGACCCCTAGCATGACATCACCCTTGTTTTTCACCCCTTTTAGCCAGAGGCTCTCAACAAGTCTGTCCCCTACATACATTTCCACCTCAGTCCAAGTGTATACATTTTTAATATATAAGGCAATAGTATAATGTAATGGGTGTTGCTTTTCAGTTTTGGATTTGATCATTGATCTACATAACAGAGAGATCACCTATGACAATATACATGATTTCACATGAACTCAGTTGTGTTTGTATTCTGTCCTGTTTTAAGCTCTTTCCACAGAGCTGCACTATGCTGCATGTAGTTAAATACAGGTGTAAGTTCATTCCAATACACAGCTTTTTTAATGCAAATTGGGTAATAACTAGGGATCAGATGTAATAAAGAGTAATTGCTCCATCTGACAGCTGAGTGTTGAAACTATGTACTGGAACCTGCCAGAGTCTATTGTAGAAATTGTTAATTGTGTCAGTCCTTTTGGATATAGATGTTTTCCTGAACATACCAACAATACAATAAGGTAGTAAATCTAAGTTTAACCTGCTTGTTATTATTGTGAGCCCTGAGTATGTCAAAGGCTTTTCACCAAGTCAGGGTTATTAATCAAACCTGACTCTTCTCTTATTGATCAGACCACAAATGGTTGGGCTATATGCCACCCCGTTTATATATTGCTGTTTAATTTGCAGCCACCCTGCGTGCACTCTATCTAAGTGACAACGATTTTGAAGTCCTGCCACCAGATATTGGGAAGCTCACAAAGTTGCAGATAGTAAGTAATTTATCTAAATTCTTAGAAAATCAATTCACTTTCGCAGCCCTTGTAGAGGTAGAATCTAGTCAATTTAAGAAGTAGTAGGTTTGTTTTTCAGCAATAACCACTACACCTGGTACTGTTTCTTGTTTATCTTGTAAATAAATTGGAAGAATTGACTGTTGGGGGAGGGGGCGGCTAGGAGTGGACAGGGAGCAAGTGTTCTTTTTTTAGGCTGCTTTATTTTTAACTGAAAATTGTTCTGACAACTTTATATTTTCTTTTAGCTGAGCCTTAGGGACAATGACCTGATCTCACTGCCTAAAGAAATTGGTGAACTCATTCAGCTTAAGGAACTTCATATCCAGGGAAACCGTCTTACTGTGCTGCCCCCAGAACTAGGTAAGATTGTAGATGGTCATTTCTTGTTTCGAGTGATGATTATGCCACAGTGCGTTTCCTGGTGATAGCCTAAACCATCTGTTGATCTCCAAGAAATATTTTTTGCTGAGATTCAGTGCTATTATCTGCTTATTCCCTCCAGACAGACAGACAGACAGACAGACAGACAGACAGACAGACAGACAGACACACACTTTCTTATTGTGTTTGTATGTATGTGTATGTTTGGGAGAGGAGGGGCTCGCCTTTTACTCGTATTTCACATTTGGCTGCATTACTTGTTTCCATATTATGCATGACCTGTGTATTAGTCAGATTGCAAAATTTGCATACCACATTCTGCTTTGTACATAATTTCTTCTAAAGACCTATTTTAATTGTCTAAAGCTTGTTGTGCTGAAACCATTCTTCAGTGAGCAAAAATAAATTTTGAATTATCAGCGGTTGGATGTGTCTTTCTTTAGCCAATTTCTGTGGAAATGGAAGTTTGGTCAATAAAACTGAGAGAAAGCTAAGTTAGTTAGTTGGGTTTTTTGTTTGTCTGTATTTTGATATCCTGATATTATTAGTAATCTGACCGCTTTCCCTCAAAACAATGGAACCCCAAACTATAGATTTCTGCCATTATCACTAGTAATTTAATTTTCTTGAATCAAAGTAATGTTCTTCATTAGAAATTTAAAAACTGTGAATGTAGCACATTTTCATTGCACGTGTGTATTTCTGAGCTATCGGCATTGACTGCAGTGGAGTTCTGCCCGCTTTCACAAAATCTCCATTTGGGCTAACCTGTTTTGATACCCTTTACAAATGTCGTCTTAGTGTAAATATGTAGCAGGATCAGTTATCTGTTGCTCTTGTGAATGTTGTGGTGTAGTTTCTACCAATTCATATCTAATAGCTGCTCATAAACACATACAGACGTGTGTGTGTGTGTGTGTATGTACATGTTCCCTTGCTCCCCACCCTTCTTCCACTTGGGAGAATAATTATGCAAAATTTTATCATCTGAACATGCTGTGACCAGTTAGATTATATGATAATTGCTGTCTGTTGTTCTTTTGTAGAAATGGTATTCTGTTCTAAATCCACATTTTTTACTTTATATGTGTTGTCAAGCTTTACACATTTAAATGTATTTCTTTTAGGGTGGTGGGACTGGGTTTGTTTGGATTCTGTTTAGACACCATATTTCTGTCTTTATCAGTGTAGTAACTGTAGTATACTGACAGCTCTTTCTCTCGCTGCTGATGGATGAAAGCTGTTTTTCTGCTACCTTAATGTTAGTAATAGAAATGGTATTTTAATTTTAGGTGTTTTAAAATATCATAACACTGGTATACTTTTTCCTAAATCTTTTTTCATAGCTTTGTTCACTTTTGTTCATTTAAAACAATATTTTGGAAGCCTACACTATTTATAGAAATGTAATTTTCTATAGATTTCTTATTTTAGTGTCTTGGAATTATCTAGAAAGGGAAGATGTGTCCTTTAACATGAACATATCCAGTTTCTATGGCTAATTAATTGTTCTAAGCATATGTTTTACCATAAATGTGTATACCAAGGGAAATATGTACGAAGACCCTGTTGAGATTTATTCAGGGTTGATGTGCCAAATAGACAATACCGGATTTGAAATATTTGTTTGTTTGTCTTTCTGTCTTGGTGTGCTGCTGATCTGATTAGGACTGGGGTGGATTGTCCGGGGTGTGGCGTTTCTCGCCTCTATTGCTTATTGCACCTTTTTCTTTAACACATGCATTATGAGGTATAAATTATGAATCTTCCAGTATTTCATGTTATGATCTTATATTGGATTCTCACTTATGATATAGAGAAATAGCCCATTGCTGTTAGATTCTGTGCCATGCATAATGTCAGATATATAGTAAATATATCAAGTATGTAAGACTATTAGTTTTATTTCTAAAGTCACATCTCGATCTAGATGTGTAACTTACGCTTTCTGTAACATTATGAGAAAAGAATTATGCTTTCTGTACATACTGTTTAAAATAATCATGGGAGTAGCATATAATGTATTAGCATATCTTGTCCTCCTTTTTCCTGTTTTTCCTTCCTCACTGCCTCTTTAAAATCTGATATTAGACATGATGCAATCAGTAAGAGTAAGTGTCTCGTAGCAGAGGCCAAGTATGATTTTGTTGAGTGAGTACTTTAGGTGCTCTTTTAGTCAGGTGGTTAGAGCACTAGGTTGAGACTCAAAATCTTGGTTCCGAGGCTGGCTCTGCCTCTGGCTTGCTGGGTGACCTAGGACATGTCATTTTGCCATTCTGTGCCTTTGTTTCTCCTTCTGTGAAGTGAGACTGATGATACTGACAGCCTTGGTAAAATGTTTTATAAGAGTTAGGTATTTATAAAATGCTTCACCATTTGTTGTAATAACTTAACCAGCATCTGTCAGACAACTTTTGGATTCTTAATCTCCTGAGCAAAATCATGCAGTAAGGAGAACTGTTCAGTTTTGTGCTGTACCTTTTGGACAAATGGCTTTTTAACTAGCGGATGCTATTTGCATGATGTGGCAGTGGTATCATTTGATTTAAAATAAGTAAAGTCTCTCTGAATTTCAGGTGGAGAAGGCATTTGACTTACAAGAATTAGTTATCTGATGCATTGCAGAAAAGAGTCTTTAGATGCTCAGATATCAATGAATGTGCACAGTATAAGTAAAAGAGGACAACATTTATCTGAGAGGGAGAGAGGATCTGGTGAATTGGGATAAGGAGTCTTTCGAGGAGATGGGGGAAGTATGGAAGAGGGCATGAAGAAATGAGTGGCGGTAGGGAAGGACACGGACAGCAGGACAGGAATCACTAGAAGTGAAGGAAGTAAAATGTTGAGTTGGAAGAGGGACAGTTGTTCACAAATTCCACTTTTCAGAATATTGATGAAGATTCCATCCAGTATTGCTGAGTTTGGTGATATTCGGTGTGCAAGTGAGGGAAGTGTAGAACCAGCCCATGTTTGTATTTAGCAGAGACTACCTGTCATTAATGTAAGAAAAAAACAAATGTACTCTTGTCCAATGGAAACAAGAACACACCTCATCCAATGCATTGGTTCCCTTGATTAGGAGGCATGTCTGTAAATACAGTATGTGTGAATGATGAATGCAGGAAATGGCTGGGGGTGGATAGATGGAATTCACAGCTTGTTTTTATCATTTGTCTCTCCAAACCCAGTTCATGAGAAATGTTTGTGGGCAGTCATATATAAACTTTGAAGAGGTGTTGGCATTTTTTCCTAGCATTTAAAAGGTTATATGCGGCAGTGTGAGACAAATAAATCATGATTCACTGCAACAACAGAGTTGCAGTCAGTTATATAAATTGCCAAGGAAGCACTAAATCTGTCACTTTGTGTATTCTGACCATTTAACAATTGGAATGATGCTGGAAAGAAAGCTGACTAGAAACAAGGAACCAAAACAAAGTGGCAGATGCAATTAGTAAGATCAATGGTTCGTGTTTTGAAGTTCATTGTTTGGTCATCTCAGTGGACCTTAGTGAGTGTGATGCTATCTAAAAGATTACAGGAATGGGTAGCAGGGCACCAAGTAAAAGCCTAGTGTGTAGCACAAAATTATTGATAAAGCTGCACTCATTTGTGATTGAAGAATGGCACTAAGTGGTTGGGCTGTTCCACAACTTGACTTATTTAATTTCACTTGTTTTCGACATAGCAAAAATAAAATCTTACCCTAATGACACCCTTCTGTTATTCTGAAACCTCTACAGTTGGCTTGCTTACCAGCATGGGAGAAATAATCAAAAGTGAATCTGTAGAATACATTAAGTCATCACTTAACTTTTTCCAATCAGGTATCAAAAGCAGTTAGCTTTTAGAAATGGCATTAACTTATCAGATTTACACACATTAAGGAAAATACTAAACTTGTAACTATGAGCTTTAGTTCATATTTGCAAATCTGGGCATTTCTTTCCTAATTTAAGCCTTTTCAAAAGCTCTCTGAAGCTGTCCCCCTATTAATTCTAAGTACATGAACACTACATTCTAATAAATATGCTATCCTGTAATATCCTTTTTTCCTTAAAGTACAGGGAAACTGAAAAATCCTCAAAGTAATTCACCCTTCACATCTAAATTTTAAATAGCTAAATTATTTTCTTTACATAAAGAAGCAAAGTTCAGGGATTTCGTCAAAGGAGTTGTTGAAAATCATCTCTTCCTGTGTGTGTCTGCCATGTGAAAGCACTTTAAAGAGCCCCTTGTCTGAAATCTGCAATTTAAAATTGTAGTGTGCAAAATAGTGTAGTTACTAAGTTCTTTATGTACAAAGGGGCTTTTCACATACACTTGTATATGCATTTGCTTAATTAATATCTATTTGTAAGTGCTCAGTGTTTTAGACACACCTTTGGCTTTGTTCCTTTCAAAATATATAGTCTAAAATCAATAATTTAAACAGTTCCTAGGTCTAAGCTTTTTACATACATAGCTACAGTTTTGCTATGTGTATTTTTGTGATCACTCAGCGGTTGTTAGAATATATCCACAGCTGAATATAAAGCATAATTTACAGGGAGCTTTGTATGCGCTTGTGTTCAGTTTTCTCACGTAACTTCAGGTAGTGACTTTCCTTTTGATTTCATAAAACAAGCACAGTTAGGCCTGGTTAATAATTGGATAGGAGTACCCATGGGGAAACCAGTGTGCTTCAATAGCGATTCAGAAGGCAATATCTGTCCCTGTGAATACACACTGTACTAATGCCTCAGCAAGGTGTTGAATTTTTTTACCCAAACAAAATGAAGGCAAAAGTTGTATATTTTAATAGATCTTTAAATGGGGACAGCAGCAGTATGGAGAGAGAAACTGCAGATTTGTCAGAAGTTATTCCATATCCATCATGTGGCCACTATCTCACTCTCATGGTTAGGTCTATTGATGGCTATTAGCCAGGATGGGTAGGAATGGTTTCCTTAGCCTCTGTTTCTCTGGAAGTGGGAGAC